TTTGTAAATCTACATGTTCGTCGTTTTGGTAGGTTGCACAGAACAGCTAAGGAACTGTATGTCATGCTAGTTTAAAAGTATTGAGGCATTTTTCTTTAGCGTCTTCAACGCAAACGCATAGAATGTTCACTAATGAGTGCACGATAAACAACAGCTAATACATTCTCTCATGCTGTTAAAGGACGTTATCGAAAAACATCTTTTAGCAGTAACACCTTTTCACAAAAGGATACAAAGTTGCCATCTGCAATAGAGAGGACGAGGAATTACGATGAGCTACGTACAGAACGCATAATTCGGATTGCACTAAAATGCAGGACAGTGCTCTGGAGTGGTGTTCAGAATTTAATGACTCCTCTTCACGTATAAAATGAGCAGCGGTCATGGTAATGCCTGTTTACCGGGACGAAATTTAGGCGAGTTAAATTTTATTGTGAACTGCGGCAGAGGGAAACGATGTATGATGTATGATCAAACAGCTGTATGCCATAACGAACTACCAAGAGAACTTGCAGTAAAATAAATACACGAGTCAGAAGGATACTGGGTACCATATGCGATGACTGCAAAAACTGCCTTAACGTAGCTTCCTTCAGGTTACCGAAAATCTGTTTAAGATGCATATGCCTAGAAAAAGAATCACTCACTTAGAAAGAGAGAACTCCTGATAAAATGTTTTTTAGACGCATATGATACGGTATTACTATTCGCGTATATCTTCGGAATAAGAGCATGGAAAATCCGCTCGCCGCAGAAGCAGTAGTAGTAACTCGGTGAACTTGAGGGATATACTCTGATTTCACAGTATTTACATTGTCTGATTTCCTGATTTTCAAAGCTTACTACTTGTTTTGAGTCAATGCATCAGGAAAGGTTTCGTACCAAACACGTACAAGCTGACATCTCATAGCGAAACATGGCTCGGGGTTCCATATGACTCAGTAATCAGTTTAGAGGTCTGCCCCACCTCCCCCCCCCGCCGGACTGTAATCCCCATGGCTTTGTTATAACCTTTTCATAACATGTCGAAACTATGCCAGATATGATCTCTAATTGTGTTTATCAGTTAAAGGCAGTGAAACACGCGATTACCATCGTTACTCGCGCCTAGTGGGCATGAGAACCGCTGTGCAATTGATCTGTCACTTTTGTCGATGACGACCTTCGATCGATTTATTGACATGCTCGAGCCAGCTGCATGAACCCTCTCTCGAGCTAGTGGTCTGCTTCTATTTTGGTATCAGGAAGGCGCCGACGCCGTTGTATCGTCGTGTTATGAAACGTAGCGTTTCTGCTGAGCTGACTTAGTCTCTGCATCTATTTGTGTGTGTCTGTTGGGAGATGGGTGGCTGGTAATTCATTTACTTGAACGAGGATCGTTTTGGGATGATGTACTATGTACAACGGCTCAAAATCACCACAATCATTTTCAACTTCGCGTTATTAGCTATGGCGGTAAACGTCCGTAAAATGCATGGTCGGTAAGGTCGTAGCTTCGGCACTGCTAAGATCGAGAGAATAACGTACATCGGCTCTATGAGGTACTGACGAGTTTTCTTATCTTTAAATTGGTGGAGTTGCCGCCATACATTCACATGAACATAGTTAAGAAGCTAAAGTTTACAAAGTAATTAAAAAATGAACAGAGTCGTAGAATGTCCTTTTGGCCATTTAGTGTTTGACCGAGATCTTAGGAATTCTGACCCAGTCTGCCAGCTGGTTTTGCCCTCTAATAAAATAGGTGGAGTTTCTGATAAGGAAGATCAGCGGACAACTTACGCCCCGTTCTCCAAAAAACTTGTAATTCTTTTTCTCAGATAATCTACGATCTACAGTACTTAGTCTAAAAACTCGCTGACTGACCCAAAACTATGATCCAGTTTTCCGAAATTCGCCGTGGTCCTTGCCCTTGTGCTGTCCTTTCGTTCCAGATGCTTGTCCTAACATTTATTTCTGATGTAGGTGACATAAAAAGACGTCGCTGCTTCCAACGGGGTTAGTTCCTGCATTTCAGAGGTTTAATTCCTGCGTTTCTCAATAACATTTTTTACTGCATACTCTATTAAATAAAAAACAACTGACATTAATGAAAACTGCAGATTCCAATGCACCTTACAATTTATCATTGAGGTGCAGTGCGAAAAACTCATAAGCCATGATCCGCTTATGTGGTTCCTGTAGGGAACATGAAAGTGGCGCAATAGCCATGAAATCTGATATTGGATGAGCTATCGGGTATTACCACATATTAATACTAGGTCATGCAAGTCAGATTTATCGTCACAGACCATGTCCTGGCTGAATGTTCACAGGATTTTAAGCGGCTCCTGAATGGTACGAAGCTCCTGAAACAGTGTGAAAAAACATCGTTGATGCATCTAAATTCAAAGTACGATGAAAACAATACCTTTCAACTGGTACAGCAACAGTGCTTAACTTAAATCAGATAAAAATGCCAAATTCCACCGAGCTATTCTCAGCTGGAAACATTCTCCTCAAATTAAACCAACGGACATCAAGCCTGTAGTATTTAGCATAATTTATCCTCGTTGTAAAGGGTCGAATTTAATTGATAACTTATAATGTGTAAGCGATATCACTGTCCATGAGAAGCGCAATCGACTGCTTCTCTGTTATGATTAGCTAAGGTCGATAACCCACTTTAAAAGGACACTAACTACACAATAACGAGTGACAACAATTTTTTGTGGGACTACGATATCTATGCAGTTGGAACAACGTATGATGATAAGATTGGACGCTACACGTAACAATCATAGGTAGAACGGTTAAGTTTTGCGATCACAAACTGAAAATTGCGTCTCAGCTCCAATTTGGACAGGCCGTGTCTTGTGACCTTTGTCGCTAGCTTGATATTTGTGCTCATGAAGGATGGAGTGGAACAACTAAAAGTTTTTATTTTCTGAAAAAATAATCCTGTCTAGAAAGTATATAACATGTTAATTCAGTATGCTTTCTAGATCTGATTTAGCAGCATGAAAGGTGTGTCACGACTATCGCAACCAACCATTTTAGATTTCCTCCAATGACAGTAAGATGTGCCATGTTGTGAGAGCGTATGGGCGCTCGAGTGATTTGCTCAGTTTCAGCCAAGACGTTGGTGCTAATGGTTTAATAAAACAGTGCAGTATCTGCTTTTCAGCAAATCCGAATGAAAATTCCAAAAGTTCTTGGAGGCGGAAGCATTCTGGAAACCGGTGCTTACATTCCGGCAAATTTGGCTGACTTCGAGCACTGGTCACAGCTTGGCCTCAAGGGTTGGGAGAGTATGCAGCGCTATTCATTTCGACTCAGTTCAAGCAGCAGCCACAGCAGCATCGATGCGATCACCGGCATCACCGATAAGGAGCTGCTGCACATGTTCTACAAGAGGGGCCCCCAGCAGGTGCTGAAGCCTCTGAAGTACCTATGGCTGAGGGCTGCAGCAAACCATGAGCAGACGATCCTCGGCGACGAATCGAAGGCACTGAAGAGCGGCGGATACTTCTTACCTCAAAGTTCGTCGATTTGTTCCTTACTTGACGATGACTTGCCATACGTGTTAACGCTTTCCGTTTAGCTCTCACCTACCATGGCAGCAAGCTTAATCCGGCAGCAGTATATCTGGGCAAGAGCCGGTCAAACGTGGTTATATTGTGCCGTGTAGAAGCTTATTCCGTAAGTGCACAATCCATGGAGAAGGCCGAGCGTCTCGCCTGTCAAGATTTATTTGCTTTCAGTTGATCTTTTCACCTAACAGCATCAACCAGGTCATCGGCGTTCGCATACGAGACCAAATCTCAGGACAGATATTTAGTGTCAAAGCGCGTCATGAGGTGATTCTTGCAGGAGGTGGCATCGGCTCGCCGAAAGTCCTAATTCAGTCCGGAATCGGACCAGCTGATCATCTGAAATCTCTGAAGGCAAGCTTTGCCTTAAGACTACATGTTACCACTAAAAACTAAACTACTGCTTAATGTTCAGGTTCCATTAGTGAAAGACCTGCCCGTTGGAACGCGACTTAGCGATCGTGTACAGGTGTCACTGTACATTAAAGTGAACAAGCTGGTCACCCAGGCGCTACTGGAGGAAATCGACGACAAAATGACACTGCAAAGTTACCTGGAATCCGGCAGAGGTACTGCAAGAAAAGTTGCATACAACTTTATGAAAACCTAGCAGCTAGTGTTCCAGTCCATGCAGTTATTTACATCAAACTTACACTCGATCTTGACTATTTAATTTCTTGCGGCAATTCAAATTTTACTTTTGCATAGCGTTACATTATACATATTATGTTGATATGTATACAAACAAAAACAGCACAACACTTTAATGATGCACAACACAAAAAATTTGTCCGTCGACTGATCGATATTTCGATGCGCATATCACGGCTTTTCTTGCCTCTCATTGGTGCTGACATGGCCTTCTATAGCATCTAAAGCGCTGTGAACAGTAATACTAGCTTCCTATCTGTTGTTGTTTTAAGCCTCGTTCAGCCCACGCGGGGCATATTTGCCCTGTTAAAGTTTTCACACTGTTGCATGACTGAATAATTTGTTTATGGTTTGCTGATTTCGTCAGCTAATTTCTTTCGATAACGATGTCGATACACTCTTACCAGTAGCATTAAGGGTATCCATCTAATTGGTATTACGCGCCACATGATTACTCATTACTTTTCAGTTTGGGAATAGTCATCAGGGCACAGAAAGGCAACACCTAGTTTTCGATTCTTACTTTTAAAGTGCAGTTCTCTTTCACATTTGTCGGCAATTATCAACTTTATATTATCAACTTTAGCTTAATACGAGGTATCTGTTGTTTCTTTCTGTGATGGTACTATTTCCTCTATCCCTAGGCTCCATTCCTCCCAGAATTTACCGGGTAATTAGTACGTTTAGTCTAAATAGTCATTATTCTCAGAATTACGTATGTAAATACAATTACATATATTAATACTTTAATCTGTCATATAGATGTTGCACTCGGCGGGATGCCAAAAATAGGTAAACTATTTATGTATTCTATAGCAACCACGTTATTGATACATCTAAAATTTCAGATCGTGCTGAACGCACTTCACTGCAACATAATAAAAACAGCATATCCCTATGTTCTGAGATGGCTACCAAGATCAGCAGGCTTCTGATTCCGTCATCAACTACTGATACCGAATTTACACAGAGAAAACTGTACTTACCAACTTTACAGCGATATTGCGATAGCGTAAGGCATGATGACAGTCATCATGCTCGTTTATGTTTCTGTAGATGCTGTATAATGACAGTCACCTGTCCGCTACAAGACACGATGTAAGCTCCAAGAGATGATCTAGCGGTTGCAAGATCCATAAGGTTAACCACAGGTTTGTAGGTTAACTTCTCCAAGACGAAACGATGTGAAATGAGCACTAAACTGTCTGACAAAGAACCCGAAATTATCTATGTATATTGGCTGTCCGGTGGATCACAGAAACTCGTTAGACAAGGAAATCGACGTAAGAAAGAAATTGTAGGCCACATTTAATCCTATTTTTAAAATTATTACTCAGCAGCTCGGTCAGTTAGTCAATTCAACAGTCCCTTCGCGCGAAGGAATAACTTCTTTGTAGCCTTCTTACCCGCCATGATTTACGGCGCTGAATGTTAGTCTTACTAAAGCCTAGAAGAATAAACTGATTGTCAAGCAAACAGCGAAAGGTGTGCGTATATATTTCTCTGTAGTCAAGTTTGGAGCACACAATTTACGGACGTAATTTGTGCCTACCGACGCCAAAATATGCCGACCATGTGGTTCGTCTCAGAGACAACTACCGGACGTCAACAATTACACAATGTGTTCTGCTGGACGTGGATAGGCGGAGTCAGTCGTCGACGAACGCGCTCAGATGATCTGACGGTCAAATTACTTTGTCAGCGGTGCAGGCAAAAAGCCAAAAATAGAGAATGTAGCAGGGCCCTCTACTGGACTTGTATTCATGATGCAGCGATAACGAAAACAAATCGGATAACGGATTATATGCGTTTTACCAGGGGGAGGTTCTGTGATGCAATCAGTTGTTACACTGCACTGCACATTAGAGTGCCGGGTTTAATTAAACCAAATGAGCAGGGTAATTTGCTCTTATTAACTTTTACCTTGAGAAAAGAATTTACCGAACTGTGCTTCAGTGCCATCAGCCAAAAGCGGGTATTAAGTACTGACCTATGAATAACCGAAGCAACATGGTGCTTTGGTGTGGTCATGTCAAAGCGTAAGAGACACGGCATCCTGTCAATGCGTTCGCATTACCGCTGTCATTGACTTTCACCCATCTGACAGCTGGCTAAAAATACAAGTACAAAGTGGAATTAGATGTTACATATATGTAATACGTATGATTTATCTAAAATTTCCATACACGGCTACACATGAGGTTAATGTGTATGCGTATCGCTAAATAACTCATGAAAATCGGTTCTGAAAGTCGTATGTTTATTGACATACCTTGATGTATAAACAAACATTTCTATAATTGCTGTGATATGAAATGTCCTGGAACTCAGCGGGTAATTTTAGTAAACCAGCTGAGGAGAGAAGAGTATGGCACTTTCTCGCTTTGCCAAAATGGCAAAAGTTGTATCGCTAATTCTTTCTCACTCTGGTTATTAAGGCTTTTTGATACGAAGTTTTAAATTTTAACACAGCAGAATTCATTGCTTCTGTACAATCATATCAGCTGAATAGTTGCGAGTTCGAACCCGTGCTTGGGTCATTCAACTTTCATATCCCCAACGTACGCATTCGACTGTACGACTGTACACTATATACCTTAACTCCTTCTTGATTCACGCTATACATTTCATATACTATTAACATTATTTGTATCTCATACTACAGATTGAGAAGAATTTCATGAATAGTATATAAAAGGCATATAATCTCGTGTTTCTCCCGTTAGTCAAGGTGTCTTGGCGTTTAGCATCGCATTGAAATCAGGAGCATCTCATAAGCTTCTGACAGAAAGGTATTACAAATATAGCCAATCATA